AAAAAAAAAAAAAAGACAGCGGATCGTGTACAGGGTTGTAAGTATTTCTCTAAGATACACTTAAAGTCCGGATACAATCAGATAGAGGTTCATCCTAATGATCAGTACAAGACTGCGTTCCGGACTAGATATGGGCATTATGAGTTTATAGTCATGCCCTTTGGACTAACCAACGCGCCAGCTACTTTTCAACGTTGTATGAATGACCTGTTTAGACCATGGTTAGATAAATTTGTAGTAGTCTACTTAGATGATACCCTAGTCTTTAGTAAGACTCTTCAGGAGCACCAGGGTCATCTGAGGCAGGTCTTGGGGAAGCTTGGAGAGGCTAACTTCAAGATCAATGCGAAGAAGTGCGAGTGGGCCAAGACGCAAGTCCTGTACTTGGGCCACGTATTAGACGGAGATGGCATTAAGCCCGAGGACAGCAAGATAGCGGCGATTAGAGATTGGCCGACGCCCCGCACATTGACAGAGTTGCGGTCGTTCCTAGGCWTARCTAACTACTATAGGAAGTTCGTAAGGAACTTCTCTACTATCRCCGCTCCCTTGCGCAGGTTGCTGAAGAAAGAGGCAATCTGGCAATGGGACAAAGATTGTACGTCTGCGCTCAAGAAGTTAAAGCGCGCGTTAATAGAATATCCTGTCCTCAAAGTAGCAGATCCGTCCTTGCCATTTGTCATTACCACGGACGCAAGTCAGTATGGGATAGGCGCCGTGTTGCAGCAAGGCGACGGCAATGGCTATAGACCCGTAGAGTTCATGTCAGCGAGGATGCCCTGTGAGAAGGTCGCTACCTCCACGTAAGAGAGAGAACTCTACGCTTTCGGGCAGGCTTTGGACCATTGGAAGCACTATCTGCTTGGGAGGCACTTCAAAGTGTATTCCCGACCACGAGACACTTCGTTGGTTAAAGACACAGGCCAAGATGACACCTAAGTTGACTAGGTGGGCTGCAGAGATAGACCAATTCGACTTTGAGCTCAAACCAGTGAAGGGCAAGTACAACGTAGTTGCGGATGCTCTGAGTAGGAGATCAGACTACTTTGGAGCCGTAGTACACTATCTGGATATAGGGAGAGACGTGCAGGAGAAAGTGAAACAAGCGTATATGCAGGACCCTATCTATAGTGACCTCCTAAAGAGAGTTAGAGAGGCCCCAGAGACCGAACCAGATTACCGCACTACAGACGGGTTGTTGTTTGAGAAGACTAATGTGTTTGATCGCCTGTGCATTCCCAACAACGAAGAGATTCGTAGTCTGATTCTAGGGGAATGTCACGATACTGAAGGGCATTTCGGTTGGCAAAAGACATTAGCCAACCTGATGCGTGCGTATACCTGGHSAGGGATGAAGAMTGACTGCATAGAGTATGTCCGCAGTTGTAAAGTGTGCCAGAGGAATAAGTCTACTACACGCGCGCCCCTAGGTCTTCTCAGACCCTTGCCTATTCCGGATCAGCCGGGAGACTGAGTGTCTATAGACTTCATGGACACGCAAGTCAAGAGCAGACATGGTAAGAGTCAAGTCATGGTCATAATTGACCGATTTAGTAAGTATGCAGTTTTTGTTCCTTTGCCTGCAGAGGCACGTACGGACCTAGTTATACAAAAGTTTTTTGACTTTTGGGTTAATGAGAATGGAATGCCATTGTCAATAGTTAGTGATAGACATAGTCGTTTCACCAACCAGAATTGGCAAAAACTCATGAGAGTCTACGGATCTAAGTTGTTAATGTCGTACGGCCGTCACCCAGAGACTAACGGTCAGACAGAACAGATGAACAAGATCCTACAGCAAGTTCTGCGCATGTACATTAGACCAGATCAGATTAACTGGGATGAGATGTTGCCTAAGGTAGCTAGTGCATACAACAACAGCGTGCATCTATCCACCTGCCGCACACCCAATGAGTTGCACAAGTCCTTTAGACCGCACAGACCGTTCGAAGGACTGAACTGGGATCAGATTCACAGATTACCGCCCGGTACAAGGGAGTTTGCGATACAACACGAAAAGGAGTTAGCCACTGTTGTTGAGAACCTTCGGAAGGCCCAACACAGAATGATAGAGCAGGCTAACAAGCACCGTCGCCCATCACAGTTTCAAGTAGGCGACTTAGTCTGGGTCAAGGCAAAAGAGTTTGCACCGGAATAAACCATCTCGCAGAAGTTACTGCCTGCATATAGAGGACCGTGGCCGGTTCTAGAAGTCAAGGGCGGAGAGGATGGACCGTCCTATAGCATTGAAAATCCAGCACACCTCCACACATACCCTGTGTTTCATGCTTCAAAGCTGCTGCCGTCTATCACTAGTCAACAGTTCCCTTCCAGGAGATCCATGATCCCACCGGATATGGATGGGAGCTATGGCATAGAGGGCATTGTAGAAGAGGATGTGTTTAGGACAGGAGGTAGAGGTCGTCCCCAAAAACAGTATAAAGTCCGGTTTGCCTATCAGGAACCGGAAGACGACCGCTGGTTCACGAAAGCAGAACTTCTAGAGACTGCTCCCGACATAGTCCTAGCCTATGAGCGTGACAAGAAAGGTAAAGGTCCCGCCTTGGACTGAAATTTTCTCGGAGGACCTCGAAATTAGGACGGCGGGAGTGAAACGGTTTTCACCTTTTAACAGTAGCGGATGTAGTACCCAGGGTTCGATCCCTAGACCTCACCCTACCCATGTACAGTATCTGTGTAGACCCCGAGAATTGAACCTGTGACCTGTGCATTCGTAGGCAGTTGGTAGGCCTGTCNAGTACCCAGGGTTCGATCCCTAGACCTCACCCTACCCATGTACAGTATCTGTGTAGACCCCGAGAATTGAACCTGTGACCTGTGCATTCGTAGGCAGTTGGTAGGCCTGTCRTAGGTCYATWGGCAGCAGGGGTTHGATMTGTAGGTCTATRGCGTAGGAGTCTTAGTGAGTTCCGGAAGCTTAGCTGTAGACCTTCTAGAAGGTAGGCAAGTGGGCAAGTGGTCAAGTGGAGAGGCAAGTGGTGGACTAAACCCCAGTGCAACAGCAGTACAACGTCGGTAGGATAGCGGTGAGTCCACAGTCAGTCAGCGGAAGGTCCAGTCAGTCCCAGTCCGGTCCAGCAAGTACCAAAGGGGGACTGTGAGCACCAAGGGCCGATGCCAAAGGACAGACCAACGAGTTTTTGAAGTATAAATCAATAGGCAGTGCCCAACCATTCATTCATTTCCTCCGTGAGCCATGCGGAAGCGCTGCCACAGCGACTTGTGCAAGGAGGTCTGCAGATGAGCCCGGAGGACACAGTGGGCAAGAGAGAGGGAATTAGTCTAGCGATAGGTTAGATGCAGCGATAGCTGCCATAGCCGTAGTTAGTAGTGAGTGTGTGTGTGTGTGTGTGTGTTCGAGTGTTAGAGTGATGCGTGTGGGATATCCAGGGTGATCCAGTGTATGTGAACAATGAGATGTTTGGGCGCTGAAGTCGCGTGTCTGAAAGCCATTTCTCTGAGTTTTGAGTGGGCGCATGTCGCCAGTATGCTGCGTTGTTGTTTACATGCATGAAAAGTGTGTTTGAGAACGAGTCTGATAGCAGTATATTTAAAAAACAGGTATTTATGCAATTTGACCCTTCTTTTAATAGGGGGTTAAAGCTCCATTTCCTTTGCCCTTTTTTTTTTCCTAAAGTTGCGAAGTACTGAATTTAAAGTCGTTCATGCTCGTTAAAAAAGTTTTAAGAAGATAGAAGAAGAAGAAGAAGAAGAAGAAGAAGAAGCAGTAATCCCACTCTTATCCTTATGGTGCCATGTGGAGTGCAGGTGATCCGATAACGACATTTGTGCCAGCTGCAATCAGAAAGGAGGTGTGTATTTCTCTGTCTCTCTCTCTCTCTCTCTCCCTCTGTGTGTGTGTGTGTGTGTGTTGGGGGGGGGGGGGGGGGGGGGGGGGAGTTATAAAATCCCCCCGCGACAAAACCTTTGTATTCCCTTTAGTTCCCCGTTTTTAGCATTTTGACTTCCGTCTTTGGCACTTTCTGGTTTTGGCGTGAAAGGGAGACGCAAAGTAGTTAAAGTAGTAATGCGTGAGAGCCTCGTTAGACCCTCCTTGAAAATCCGATTTTTAGGAAATCGGCGTCGTTACACCGCGTCCTAATTCACCCAATTCCTTGAATGAATGTGAAAACGCTCCTGAGAGATTTCCTTGGATTCCTTGGGATCCCCAGCCAAAACGTCCTTGGATTCAAGCGGTCCTCGTAAGGTCCCTTGGGTTCAAGGAGCCGCGATTGACGGAGTGTTCTGGAGCGAGCGCCGACATGAGAATTTGGAGTCGATGTTGGTGCACAGGTCATCCGTGGTCCATTGGGCAGACATCGCCGACCTCCAGTACCCGACGGGGCCCCAGCAGCCTTCCATAGTTCCACCGTTACCGTTGGCATGAAAATGCATGGGGGTGGCTCTTCAGCTGCAAGGCGCTTCACGAAGCAGGGTTTTCCATGCGCGCGTTGCTAGCCGTGGTGTCCAACAGTCGAATTTTTTTATTTGTCTACGAGCGATGTTGAAGTACTGTTGGTCGATTGCAGGCATCTGCCTAGCGTGTTTTGTCAGCTATTGTCGGCGCATTGATGCAAGCTTTGTTTGGTACACGCCTCACAAGTTGCAATTCATGGTAGACGTCCCCCGGCGGTTCCTGCTCCTACTGCTGGCCACTCTTCTCCTGCTCCTTGTCGTGTTGTTCTACATGTGCGTTGTGCGGGGTCCTGGCAGTAGACAGAAACGACGAATGGTGAGGAAGACGACGATGGACAGGCTGGAAACCTCCAGCAGACAGCCAACGCGCGACATTGACTACTCCACTTCGCAGCTTCTCCTTGTAGTAAACCTCCGCCGTGTCGTCAACCTGTCGGAGATCCTCCCATGTCCCTCTGGTCGTTCTCCTCATCTAGGGTTAATAGCAAAAATATTGTTGTTTCGAAGTTTTGCAGCAAAAATGTCGTCCGTTCGAAGTTTCCTTTGCAAAAATAGAGGTTTCATTGCAGCTTTATCGCGTTCCCATAGTTTGCCAGCAAAAATACCGCGTTTTGGCCAGTTTCACATCAAAGGACGCATTGACCTCTGGCCTCAGGGACTCAGGGACTCAGCGTTCTGGCCTGAGGCACTCAGTGTTTTTTTTTTTTTTTTT